AGTTGCATTTATAAAAAAAATGGAAATATCCACAATAAAGTTGGGTCGTCAAAAATGTATCAGTTTTTGAACATGAGTACCAAACGAAAAAAAAAAAAAAAGAAAAGTACCAATTTTGGTACTAAAGTACCATAAGTGGCAACCGTGGGTGGAACGCACTTGTGTATACACAGTATTACTCAAAGTTATTACGAGTAGCTCGAGGAACAGACCTAATATTTATTACTTCAGAAAAAATTCAACTGGTCAATTGATATGGTAATTTGTTATATTTTTTTTTTACTTTTAATAATAATAAAGTTTCTACATAATGTATAAGTAAAGTGATACTTCTGAAGTTAGGGTATTTTTTAATTTCATTTATTTATTATTATTATTTAAATTAATGCTTCTTAAAATGATTACTATAGAACTAAACAGTATCATTGATCTTCAGAAGGGTTTTTTTTCTTGGTTATTATTCTAAAGGCTATGTTATGTAGAGTGTCATGGACTCCTCAAAATTGTCGCTTTTAGGCTTTGACGATTTGATAATGCTTCTAAAAGACATAAATGTTGACATTTATTACTGAATAACACTGCTTTGACTAACTGATGAGGCACAGATAGATTCCCCATGACCATATTTGAACCGACATATTGTTTTTCTTTTCACGCTCAATTTTATAATTTGCATTGAAAACAACAACAATTTTACTCATGACGAGCATATGATATTCTATATAATATGGCTCTTAGTAGTGGATTGTTTTCCAAAAAAAAGTTAGGAAAAGATCTAACTAACGCAAGTATTTGAGAAAACGCTGCTGTTAAGTGTTTAGGTGATAATAAATTGTCATAATTGACATAAAATTGTCATAAAAAATATACCATGAATTAATCAATTATGATAAAAAAGGTAGCTTATACTTTTTATATACTTTCGCATGACATATAAAAAAATTATATCTTCCCAAATATACTTTTTTCTTTATATATATCTTTTAAAAAATAAAAACTGAATATATTTTTTGTTTTGTTTTAAAGGAAATATATATAACACCTGTTTCCGTATTTAAACTAAATTGATAATCTTCCATAATCTTGTAATCATGTTTTTAATTCTTTCGTGAATCTTCAGTGTTTGCAGCGATTACAATACACCAGACAGATGATGGTTTATTCATATATTTCAATCGTTTTGATTTTGCATTTTTATGAAATATAATTTGTAGAAATTTATATCACGAAAATTAATGTTAAATTAATTGGCATTTCTATTATTACAATATTGTGTGGTAAATATTAAGCGACATTATTCCATATTTAAAAAAAAATAAATACATAAATAATAAAAAGTAATCAGCGTTTAAGTTGAACTATTTCTTCTTTGTTGACCAATATTGGTAATATATAATTTTTTATCGTTCCTATAAGTATGCAGTTAAATTTTACAGATTTTATTTGCCTCTAACTAGGCAATAAGTTCTTACTTATTACCAGAAGAGGAGAACATTTTTTTTTAATAATGCGTAAATAATAAATAATTAATTGCATTAAAACGTTATAGTTTAATTTTTTATTGTAAAGGCTTTAATATGCTTACCTTATGTAGTTTCTATATAATAAATAAAAATCATGACCATAATTTTTTCTTAATTTTTATTTATAAAACAAAAAAAGTTTTATTACGTTTACATCCTTCATATTTCTAATAAAAAAACTAATATACTTCAAAACATTTTTAGCTGCTGTGATTTATTTGGCGCTTTTGCTTGAGAAAATTGTAGAGAGCAGCAAAAAATTATAATAAAGAAGAGAAAAGAGAAAAAGCAAAGGAAATAATATAATATATATACAAAAGTTTAAAAAGAAATAGGGAAATTGAAAATAAATTATTAAAAAAGTAAGGAAGATGGTAGAAAGGAAACTTAAAAACATATAAAGAAAAGTTGATAATAGAAATGATAGGAAGAGAGAGAAAGAAAAGTTAGAAAAAAGTAAAATGAAAGTAAAGTTGAAAAAATGAAAAGTTTAAAATTTTAACTGGAGTGTAGTCCAGAAAACAGTAAGAAATAGAAGAGAGTTTAACAGTTCAAACAGTTCATGTATAAAAAGTAGAGACTAATATATATATATATTTATAACACTTGATAAATTTTACTTAGATGAGTATTCTCGACAGTTACTGTATTTAAATTTACATTTTAATTACTTTTGTTTAATTATTGAAAATTAGAATTTTATATTTAACTTTAATTATTTTGAATTATTTTTCATGAAATCAGACTCTCGGTGGAACTACTACGTGTTGTAATTTTAATTGTAGTCTATAACAACAAAAGAAGAATTTGTAAAATTCTCACATAGCTTAAGTTTAAATTACTACATTGTATTGTTGTTTTTTTTTATGAATATAATTTAAACTGAGAAACCATCTCCAGTTGGATCTAAGATCCATGGATAGTTATTTGGACACTCCATGCAGGTGAATAAACGTAAAGTTTCACCGGGCAATTCTCTTGTTGTCAGAGGGCACGCATTTGGAAGTGAGCAGTAGGGTTGTCCCTTGACATCACATTTTTCTTTCCATTCCTGGAAATCACGTAGTGTGTTGATTTCAGTTGGATTTTGCATCCATTGAATAACTTGCAAGTTTGTGACGAAGAATACATCGTTGCGTCCCAACATCTCTTCAATGAATTTAATCAATTCATCGCGATATTCTTTCTTTGATTTCAACCAAGAAGCATGGAAATGTAAACCCAATGGTGCACGGTTACTATTGTAGTGACGATTGAAATTGTGACGTAAAAGACGTGCGAATTGTTCACCACTGGCAACGTTGGAGCAAGAGTCTACCATATGACAACCGGGCAATGATTCATCGAATGTTGGATCATCACGACGATCTAATTCGTTCATGACCATTTCCCAAACAGGATGACTACGAGATGGACAATTATGTGCATTACCATTGCATTTATGTGGCATACGGAAATAAAGTGTGTAAGGCCAGATTGGTACACGTCCCAATGAAGCAGTAATTGAAGCATCATAAACGAAGAATTGATCAGCCATCATTTCAAATTGTTTGTTGCCACCAACACGCAAGTATGGAGCACGCATACCAATAATTGAACCATCAGTAATATTAGCAAAACGTTCAACAATCAAACGAGCACCAGCCATTTCAGCTAACCAATCATCATAGGTACCACCTGTCCAGTAATTGGGATCATCTTTGTGTGTAAGTGAGAAAACGGAAATTTCATGACCTCGTCTGTGTAAATCTTGTACAGCTGAGTAATTGGTGTATTTGTGAGAGACAAAGAATGTACCCTTAATGGAGCAACCATTAGGGTTTTGACGTTGGCCGTTGAAGATATCTTCATACAGATCAATATTATCTACATTAACGGCACCGTTGAATGTGATGGTTATCATTTGTGGTACTTGTTGTGGTTCAATACCACCGGGAATACGAGTACCGTCAGCTGAACAGAAACAATCTGGCAGAGCACACTGTGTTTGATCACATTCTGGAGCACGATTTGGATCCTCATCAACGGCTGTAAAAGATTTAATAAATTTATGAGTGTTTTTATACTTAGAGAAAAAATACTGTCTTTGAAATACTTACAACATGCGTTTTCATCAGATTCATCTTTGCAGTCAGATTTGCCGTTACAGAATAATTCCTTGTCAATACATTCACCATCTCCACAGGAGAGTTTTCCATCTGGACAGATGGGCTCATCAGTCTTCAAAATAGGTTTAACCTTACGTGGTTCTAAACATTGTGATTAATAAATTAGTTAATATGTAGAATATATTTATATATGAAAAATTGAAATTATGGTATGCAAACTATGCGATGTGCTTAATTTCAAAATAGTAGTAGATTACAGTTAGAGAGCTTTAAGAAATATTAGTTAACATTAGTTGAAAAGGTGTAAAAATAGACGATTTCTATTGTATGAAAGCAGTAATATTAACAATGGTTGGGTTAAATACAATTAACACATTTGACAACATTGCAAATTAAGTCGCTTATTTGTTATGTTAGAAATAAGCGAGTAGTGTACATTTACATACGAATTACTTTTAAAAATCCACTGTTCTTTTGACACTCTCTCATACAAACGAAATCGATTATATTAAAAAGTTTTAGGAAATGAT